TTGCCTCCATAGATAACGTTTTTTGACTCCACATATACCTCAACGCACCACTCACCTTTTTTCCCTCATCAATTCTATGATTAACCTCATCCTTCATAAATCCATCCGCCGACACGTCAACTCCCAAGTATCTGAAAACATTCACTTCCTCCATACTCCTCCTCCCCAATTTGATATCCAATTTTTCTTTATCTAAATCATTTGATACCCTCATCACCTTACTCTTTTCTATGTTCACTTTCAACTTTCTACCTTTACACACATTCCCAAACTCATCCACTAACCTTTGCAATTTTTCTTTAGAATTCCCATAAGCACAGTATCATCAGCAAAAAGTAACTGTGTCAATTCCCATTTTGAATTTGATTCCCCAAAATTTAATCCCACTCCTCTCCCGAGCACCTAGCATTACTTCCTTTACAACCCCATCTATAAATATATTAAGCAACCATGGTGACATTACACATCCCTGTCTAAGACCTACTTTTACGGGAGGTAGTCTCCCTCTCTTCTACACACCCTAACCTGAGCCTCACTATCCTCATAAAAGCTCTTTACAGCATTTAATAACTTACCACCTATTCCATATACTTGCAACATCTGCCACATTGCTCCTCTATCCACTCTATTCATATGCCTTTTCTAAATCCATAAATGCAATAAAAACTCCCTACCTTTATCTAAATACTGTTCACATATATGCTTCACTGTAAACACTTGATCTACACATCCCCTACGGACTCTGAAACCTCCTTGCTCATCCGCAATCCTACATTCTGTCTTACCTCTAATTCTTTCAGTTATGCCCCTACCGTTCACTTTTCCTGGTATACTCAGTAAACTTATTCCTCTATAATTTTTACAGTCCTTTTGGTCCCCTTTCCCTTTATATAAAGGGACTATACATGCTCTCCGCCAACCCCTGGGTCCTTCCCCTCTTCATACATTTATTAAAAAAAAGTCCCAACCACTCCAACACTATATCCCCCCTGCTTTTAACATTTCTGTCATGATCCCATCAGTTCCAGCTGCTTTACCCCCTTTCATTCTACGTAATGCCTCACGTACCTCCCCCACACTTACATTCTGCTCTTCTTCACTCCTAAAAGATGGTATACCTCCCTGACCAGTGCATGAAATTACTGCCTCTCTTTCTTCCTTAACATTTAAAAGTTCCTCAAAATATTCTCGCCATCTACCTAATACTTCCATCTCCCCATCTATATATATATTATGTATATATATATATATTTTGTCATTATTCTTTAGTTATATTAAAAGTGATGTGGAAGCAGAGGTGGCAAATTATAGTTTAAGAATGTTATTACTGAACATTACGTAGATGCAATACAATTTTAAAGTGATCGGAAGCTCCATTTCGTTAAATAATTTTCTATATATTATAATTTGTACAACTTTTGGAAGCTTAAGAGTATCAAAGAAATTTAGACCGCGAGGTCTAAAGATTAGCGTCATTGTGAAGTGCTTATTTTATTTCCACTGGTGTCCTTTATTCTTCTCATGATGCTACCCGTGGCTCGGTTTGCAGAGCAATTGCCTCATACACTGAGCATCCGTGGTTCAATCCCTGGCATAGATGTACAGATTGGGCATTTTTCCTTACACCTGTTGTCCCTGTTTATCTAGCAGTAAGTAGGTACCTGGGTGTTAGTTGACTGGAGCGGGTGGCATCCTGGGGAACAAAATTGAAGGACCACAATGGAAATTAGACAGTCCTCGATGACACTCTGACTTTCTTGGGTTATCCTGGCTGGCTAACCCTCCGAGGTTAAAAATCCAAACAACGCTTATCTTACCCAGGTTCATACTTATTTTAAGTGAATAACACAAATTACCTAGGATAACCCCAAATACAGTGGACCCCCGCATAATGATTACCTCCGAATGCGACCAATTATGTAAGTGTATTTATGTAAGTGCGTTTGTACGTGTATGTTTGGGGGTCTGAAATGGACTAATCTACTTCACAATATTCCTTATGGGAATAAATTCGGTCAGTACTGGCACCTGAACATACTTCTGGAGTGAAAAAATATCGTTAACCGGGGGTCCACTGTACTTTTAACAGGATAACCATCAGACACAGTAAAAATCAGTCATGCTTATTAACAAAAATAAAACATACTGAATAATAATTTAAATGAATGGCAATGGTTACAACAGGAAAAGATACAATAGGAACAAAATAAAGTATATCAAATGCAGGAGAATGAATTATATGAGAAACCAGATGAATACAAGTTAAATGAAGAGAAGGAAACATGACCAGTGTTTTACCTGTGTGGAGGAAGGCAGCAGTGAGTCTCAGCGTGTGAGCTAACAATACTACCAACTGAGCCACCAGCATCCACACAGCCTCAATGCACAGTTTAGGGAACTATAATTTAGTAGCAATCTTATAAGTTTTCTTAATTTCTTAATCAAAATAATCAGAACTGAAGGTACAACCAAGATGAGATACCTGAATATTTTCTCGTTTTAGAATAATACAAAAAATAATGTATACATAAACAAGCATTTGTTGGCTCTGGCGATGCTGAATTTGAAAAACATCCACCAGCAATATATACTGTGTGTCCAAAAACAGCAGAGGGCATTCCTGTTCAGTTTCAAGCATGATTTTATTTAGGTAAAAAAAAAAAAAAAAAAGAATTTGAGCATTTCAAAATCTCGGGCAGACAGCGCGTCGTCCACATATAGCAACTGTTGGAGTTACATGCTGATAAAGATCTTCGATTTTAACAAAATTATAAATACGTATTTTCCGGTATATAAAGTGCGCTTTTTTCCCACAAGTCTTAGAATATCACCCTGTGCCTTATATGCTCAAGGTCAGGGTAAAGGGAAGATTTTGGGTTATGTTTTACCATAAAGTATGAGGGTCATTAGCACTTGAATATGATTATTGATTTATGTCTGTCCTGCGCCTTATATGCCAGAAAATACGTAGATTGGTAAGGATTTAAAATGTGCTTATTTTAAAAACAGATTATATCATTAAATTTTCATTTTAAATATGGTTGTTGCTCTGGATGGAGCAACTTAATACAATCTATGAAAAGTATACTATTTGCATCACAACTTTCAAAAGTACATAATAAATTCCAATGTTGTATCACTGGACGACTCATGGTGTAGCACTGACAGTCACTTGATACAGAGAACCATCAGTTATCTGACCTTCAGTTGTCTGAAGATGAAGTTATTAAGTGGACATTTTGACTGTGATTTTCAGTATAGTTATCGTGTGTACACAAACACTCTATTTTGAAATTGGCATCTTCTGAAATTTGTGTGAAATTGCCCAAATTGCCAATTTTTGACTATTTTATTGGGTAGTTGAAATCGGTAACTGGGCAGATTCTTGTACTCAGTCAATAGAACAAATGGAGTTCTAGGGAAATAGCTATGATTTTAGCCAATTGCAACATTGGAATTGGCCGAAAATAGGGCTCGAAGTGGGTGAAACCCCACTTCGAGACCTCTAACTTCGCGGGAGCATAATTCTGTAAGCTTTCTATCAAGTTTCATACCTTTGGTGTCATTACAATCATAAAAAGATTCTCTATCATTTTGCAAGAAAAAATAATTTAATTTTTTTCGAAAATTTTTTGACCCTGAGAACGAGTTTGGGAGAGGGCCTCTTGACCCTCAGAGGGTTAACGTATTTATAGGTAGAACTGTAAAAGAAGTAAATGCTAGGGTGTTGGGGAGATGGATGGGATTAAATTATGGGAAATCAAATACAAAATGGGAATTGACACAGTTACTTTTTGCTTATGATACTGTGCTTTTGGGAGATTCTAAAGAGTAGTTGCACAGGTTAGTGGACAAATTTGGGAGGGTGTGTAAAGGTAGAAAGCTGAAAGTGAACATAGATAAGAGTAACGTGATGAGGGTATCAAACGAGTTAGGTAAAGAAAAATTGGATATTACATTGGTGGGAGGGAGTCTGGAAGAATTGAATGTGTTCAGATATTTGGGAGTAGACATGTCAGTTTATGGTTTTATGAAGGACGAGGTCAACCTTAGAATTAATGAAAGAAAAAAGGTGAGTGGTGCATTGGGTTATCCGTGGAGACAAAAAACATTATCCATGGAAGCAAAGAAGGGAATGTACAAGCGTGTAGTGGTATCAGCACTTATATGATTGTGAAAAATGGGTTGTGAATGCTGCAGCAAGAAGGAGGGTGGAGGCAGTGGAGATATCGTGTCTAAGGGCAATGTGTGGTGTAAATATTATGCAGAGAATTCGTAGTGTGGAAATTAGGAGGTGTGGAGTTCCTGAAAGTATTATTCAGAGGGATGAAGAGGGGTTGTTGAGGTGGTTTGGTCATTTAGAGAGGTTGGAGGAAAATAGATTGACTTGAAGGGTGTATAAATCTATAGTGGAGGGGAGGAGGGGTAAGGGTCATCTTAGGAAAGGATGGAGGGGGGGTAAAACAGGTTTTGTGTGCAAGGGGCTTGGACATGCAGCAGGCATGTGTGAACATTTTGGATAGGAGTGAATGGAGACATGGGTTTTGGGACCTGATGAACTGTTGGAGTGTGAGCATTGTAATATTTCGTGAAGGGATTCAGGGGAACTAGTTAGCCAGACTTAAGTCCTGGAGGTGGAAAGTACAATGCCTGCACTTTAAAGGAGGGGTTTGGGATATTGGCTGTTTGGAGTGACATCTGCACTGTTGTATCTGGGTGCTTCTGCTAAGACAGTGATTATGTGTGAATGATGGTGAAAGTGTTTCTTTCCTTTTTGGGTCACCCTACCTCAGTGGGAGACGGCCGATGTGTTGAGGGAAATTTTGAGTTGTGATATCTGCATTGTCCCAGTAAGATAGCTGTTGAATGAGTGATGGTGAATGTGCTTCCCTTTTTTTTTAGGGGCCTTCCCAACTTCAGTGGGAGATGGCCGGTGTGCTAAAAAAAAGTTTTGTAAATTATTTTAAATTTTATTTATAATAAATTTGTATCATTTTCAGACTTACCTGTGCCATTTACTCGAGATGTACAGGACTTTGTAAAAGGCCTGTTCCTCTCTGGTCAGACAGAGTTAGCTGTGCAGCAGAATGAGAGTGGAGAAAAGAATGAAATTAACAAGAAAATTCCATCCGTCAACCCATATAGAATTAATGTTCAGGCTAATGCTGCTTGCATTGATCTTTTAGTATGGGCTAGTACAGATGAATCTGGTGAGTTGAAAATACAAAGAAATTTATATTATGAATACATAGTATATACTTGTATATAGCCCACTTCATGTATAAGTTTACTTGACTTTTTGCCCACAGATCCTTAATTTTTTATATATACCGTATATCTCATGTATAGTATAGTATAACTTTACCTTAATTTTTGAGTGGCAGCGGAACAATTTTTGAGAACGAAAGTATTGTACTGGGTGTTGGTATTATGTTGTTCTATGTAAAAATAAAAAAAAATGAGGAAAAGGGGTGTGCAAACACTTCAGACATTTGAACAAGCAATGTATTGGTCCTGAGACCTTGTTCGTTTTAATGGTGCACAGGGTACATGAAGCACAGGTAAGAGGTGAGGTGTGTATTCAGGTCAGGTCAGGTTTAAGCAGATGCCAGGTCAGGTTTATCCTTATGGAAGTAAGGTAATCTGATTGCTGTATTGTATTTTGGGCATGATGGAACATGGTCAGAGATCATGTGGGATAAGGGTACTGGAGATGCTTCCTGTTCAACAGGGTTAGAAACAGAAATAAGAGAGGCTTCTAAGCATAGATACCTTCTTAATTTAGATTTGGTGAAAAATGGTTAAGTGTCTCTTCAATTCATCAGTTAGCCTTCAGTGTTCCTGTGAACAACAAAAGTGTTACTCTGGTCATTCCTACTACACATGTACCTGTATTCACAATGAAAGTTAAGACACATGTGCAATATCTGGTTATCTTTATTTTAGATGTTTTGCCATCCAGTGTGGAGAGCACTGTGGTCATAGAGATTCTGGAGCACAGGCAGGGAGACTGGTGCTTATGTAGGCGTCAACGGATAGGGACGTGTAGCAGACGATGACATAGTCACTAGTAGGCGGTATTCCCCAGTGGAAGTAGGTCATACCCAAAGGGATGGGTTAGTTGTAGTAGCCGTGAAAAAGGTCATGTAGATGTCCTCTGAACCAAAATTCCATGATGTTGCAGTGTCTGATAAGTTGTGCAAGAAAGGTATAAAATACTGACAATATGAAAGTTAAGACACATTTGCAACATCTGGTTATCTTTATTGTAGACGTTTCACCATCCAGTGGCTTTATCAATACAGATTCTAGGACATAATTAGAAGACAGTAGAACTATATACAAAAGATGAAGTAATCAGTCCCTCAGCCTTGGAGTTGGTGTGGAGAGCACGCCAACTCCAAGGCTGAGGGACTGATTACTTCATCTTTTGTATATAGTTCTACTGTCTTCTAGTTATGTCCTAGAATCTGTATTAATAAACTCACTGGATGGCAAAGCGTCTACAATAAAGATAACCAGATGTTGCACATGTGTCTTAACTTTCATCTTGTCAGTATTGTATACCTTTCTTGCACAACCTGTATTCACTAAGCCTGGCTGGTAGGTTCTTACCAGTTTCTGTTGCATATTTCTTTTCACGTTGTTCATATGGGATGGTGTGGACTGAAATGAACCAAAAGACCAATCTCCAATTGAGCTGATGTTGTGCTGGAGTTGTTATATTGAGGTCAGGTGAGCAGCATGATTTGCTCCATGCAAAGGTCATCTTTCCATCTAACAAGAACAGAGGCACAATGCAGTAGGCATACTAACAGTTGCTAAATAAGTCCTCCTCATCCCACCCATTGACAGTTTGATTACCAGAAAATGCTTTTGTACATTTTTGTCTTAGCTGGGAGATTTTTCTCTTTTGTCAAACTTTTTATGGCTTATACTTATGACTATAAAAGAATAAAGGATAAGGTTTGAACTGCAACTGTTGGACTTGTGGTTAAGTAGCAGTAATAATAGCAAATTAGGCATGTAGGTATGATTAGATTGGCACTGAGCATACCATGAAGCCTAATTAATGTACCTTGAACTTCCATTCATCAATTTTATAAATCAGTACATTTAGCTAATCTCTCACTCCCACATATAGTGTAGTAAGCCCCACACACATTCCTTAAAAAATTTAGCATTATGCACAGAACTTTATCTAGCCAAGTCCATTATCAGTGGGGGCCACCAGAAGTACCAAACATCCTACTGCTTGCCTAAAACTGCTGTCAATAAACTATGTATGCCATGTGCATGTGCCAAGTGAAATTATTCCAAGTGGCAAATTGGTAGCCTAGGTAGGAGTATTAGGTTAGGATAGAAATTATGTCAAAACATTAGACCACAGCTGAATTACAGGGCAATGCAAGTGTCTTATTATATGCATTAGATATGTTCCAGGCCCAAGGCAGCTGTGCTTAGCTAGTTTAGTTATCAGTACTTAATTCTATATAATAAGAATATTCATTATGGTTTGCAAGCCATGTCAATTGTATACATCAAATGTGTATCATTTATACAAAATTATCAAGAGAAGTAGGACACAGCATACAAGCAAATTCAAATAAAGTTAATTGTCATTTAGCGGGAGGAGGGGGGGTGCAAAACTGTAATTTTCCAAGGTATTGCTTAACACAAATCCTAGCTTAAGCTGTCTTGATTGTGTTTATATCTTTGACCTCTTTTTGCCCAGAGAAGGCATTTTTTTAAATATATTAATATATATAAATATATTTATATATATATAAATATATATATATATTATATATATATATATATATATATGTTGTGTATATATAATATATATAAATATATATATATATATATAAAATATATATATATTATATATATTTTATATATATATAAAGAAGAAGAAAATTGTCAAAGTGGGAAGTCTGAATTTTCGTGGATGTTGTGCAGTGATAAGAAAGAGATGATTGTGGATGTTATGAATGAAAGAAGTGGATGTCCTGGCTTTAAGTGAAACAAGCTGAAGGGGGTGGGAGGATTTTCAGTGGAGAGGAATAAATGGGATTAGGTCAGGGGTTTCAAATAGAGTTAGAGCTAAAGAAGGAGTAGCAATAATGTTGAAGGATAAGCTTATGGCAGGAAAAGAGGGACTAAAAAATTTGTATTAATTCAAGGATTATGTGGAGTAAAATAAAGATTGGATGTGAAAAGTTGGGTTATAATAAGGTGTATGCACCTGGAGAAGAGAGAAGTGTAGGGGGAGAGAGAGAGAATTTTGGGAAATGTTGAGTGAATGCGTGGGGAGTTTTGAATCAAGTGTGAGGTATGGTGGTTGGGGATTTCAATGCTAAAGTGGGTAAAAATGTTATGGAGGGAGTATAGGTAAATTTGGGGGGTGCAGGGGTAAATGTAAAGGGGGAGCCTTTTTTTTTGAGCTATGTGTAGAAAGAAAATTTGGAAATAAGTAATACATATTTTATGAAAAAGAGGATAAATAAATATTACAAGGTATGATGTAGCACGTAATGAAAGTAGTTTATTAGATTATGTATTGGTGGATAAAAGGTTGAGGGGTAGGCTCCAGGATGTACATGTTTATAGGGGCAACTGAAAATTATCGGATCATTATTTAGTTGTAGCTACAGTTAGGATAAGAGGTAGATGGGAAAAAGGGAAGGTGGCAACAAAAAGTAAGAGGGAGGTGAAAGTGTTAAAACAAAGGGAGGAGGAAGTTCGGGTTTGAGATATAAGCGACTATTGGCAGAAGGTGGGCTAGTGCAAAGATGAGTAGTGGGGGGGTTGAAGAGGGTTGGGAATAGTTTTAAAAATGCAGTATTATAAAATGTGGGCAGAAGTTTGTGGTTATAGGAGGGGGGGGCAGGAGGAAAAAGAGGAGTGATTGGTGGAATGATGAAGTAAAGGGTGTGATAAAAGAGAAAAAGGTAGCTTATGAGAGGTTTTTACAAAGCAGAAGTGTTATAAGAAGAGCAGAGTATATGGAGAGTTAAAGAAAGGTAAAGAGAGTGGTGAGAGAGTGCAAAAGGAGAGCAGATGATAGAGTTGGAGAGGCACTGTCAAGAAATTTTAATGAAAATAAGAAAATAAGAAAATAAGAAAAAATTTGTAGGTAGTAGGTTGGTAGACAGCAACCACCCAGGGAAGTACTACCGTCCTGCCAAATGACTGTGAAACAAAAACCTGTAACTGTTTTGCATGATGGTAGGATTGCTGGTTTCTTTTTCTGTCTCATAAACACGCTAGATAACAGGGATATCTTGCTTCTCCTACTTACACTTTGGTCACACTTCACAGACACGCACATGCATATATATATATATATACATACATCTAGGTTTTTCTCCTTTTTCTAAATAGCTCTTGTTCTTTTTTTATTTCTTCTATTGTCCATGGGGAAGTGGAAAAGAATCTTTCCTCCGTAAGCCATGCGTGTCGTAATGAGGGGGACCTAAAATGCCGGGAGCAATGGCTAGTAACCCCTTCTCCTGTATACATTTACTAAAAAAGAGAAGAAGAAAAAACTTTATAAAACTGGGATGCTTAAATGTGCGTGGATGTAGTGCGGATGACAAGAAACAGATGATTGCTGATGTTATGAATGAAAAGAATTGGATGTCCTGGCTCTAAGGGGAAACAAAGCTGAAGGGGGTAGGAGAGTTCAGTGGGGGGGGAAATAAATGGGTTTAAAATTCTGGAGTATCTGAGAGAGTTAGAGCAAAGGAAGGGGTAGCATTTAATGTTAAATGATCAGTTATGGAAGGAGAAAAGAGAATATGAATGTGTAAATTCAAGAATTATGTGGATTAAAGTAAGGTTGGATGCGAGAAGTGGGTCATAATAAGCGTGTATGCACCTGGAAAAGAGAGGAATGCAGAGGAGAGAGGAGATTTTGGGAGATGTTAAGTGAAATGTATAGGGGCCCTTTGAACCAAGTGAGAGAGTAATTGTGGTAGGGGACCTGAATGCTAAAGTAGGAGAAAACTTTTAGAGAGGGTGTGGTAGGTAAGTTTGGGGTTGCCATTTGTAAATGATAATGGGAGCCCTTTGATTGAACTTTGTATAGAAAGGGGTTTAGTTATAGGTAATACATATTTTAAGAAAAAGAGGATAAATTTAAGTATACACGATATGATGTAGGGCGAAATGACAGTAGTTTTTTGGGAAATTATTTTATTGGTAG